GAGGAGAGAAAGAATATAAAACTTATGGCCATCAAAACATTCAAGCTTCGGAAGATATCAAACAGCAAGTGTGTCTGTGCCACTGTGACCGATTTTTAACCATGTTGCCGGGACTCAGACCTCAACCGCTGATTCCTGTCATCTCAGGGACCCCAGCCGGGTAGGCTACATCTCCTCACGTGGCTCAGATGGGGAGTACGGGACTTCAAGAACTGGTGCCATGTCTTGGCCTAGTTGCCCTGAACTCTTTTACATCCTTGTCCAGCGTCTTTCGACATCGCAAGTCTAGGTGGGCAGTGGCTTAGCATGCGCAGCCCATGTCCAAGACAACAAAGTTGGCAAGCTCTCAAAGCCTGGCCTGTCCAACTTGCCTATTAGCCACTGTCTGACCTAGACACTGTTTGGGCGGCGATTCCGCCAAATGCAAACAATGGTACCAACACATCAGTGGTCAAAACCCGTTAAGCGCCTCATATCTTCCACGTTTAGGGGTCATATGTCTCAGGCGTGCAACGGGACGGAACAAACTGCAGCCCTGCCTGCTTGTCCTTTGATAGGCATTCGGACGTCTTGCCAGTCGGCAGCGCAGATGTCGCAGGTTGTCAAATACCGAAGAGGGCCTTCCAAACCGGAGCTGAGATTTCACCAGCAGTCGACACCATTCGAGTCGGCGCAACCGGTAGGCGCATTCAACCACAAGAACCCATCGGATGGCAAAGTGAGATCCATGTAGCCTCGTCCACGACTGGAATCTGCCAGGTTTTCTCTAATTTATCTCTCTCAAGCTGCAGTTAGACGTCGGATAACTGTGGACCCGAGGATACCGGACACTATAGTGGTTAAGCCGATTGCTTTGTGGTCATCGAAAAGGAGGCTTATCCCCCTCTCACGTTGCAATCGTTGCTCAAATCATTAGTTTTGCTTTCAGTGCCTCTTTATGAATAAATCAAGAGGGATAAATGCGGAGTAATGTTTTCTGCACGCGTTTTATGTACTTCTAATTCCTTTCAGGTCTAACATATGGACTCACAGCTCAATTACTTCAACCACTACAGAGACCCGCCTTTACTCAGCCAGATTATCTACACTCCGACCATGGCCTGGATGTTTATAATCCATAAACATATTGGTTGTCTGTGTACACTTACGTCTAAACCAACGTCCTGTTTTATCTTCATTTTAAAACCTGATATGGTCGATTCCCTCAGTCCGTCTCCCAGTTTGACGGCAAATTTCTCCGGTCAACCACCAGCTGGTGTGAAGGAGCCATGGTATGTTTGGATTTCAACACAGTAAATGTGTCACCCACATATTCCCACCACACTTCCACAGTGGGATTGAATGTTCCAGAGATCAAACGACAGGAACTGTTCATAAAGATATCTGCTACATCTGCGGACTTTTTCGATTCTACTTCTTACATTTTTTCCTTGCGTATTAAACTGCGGGAGTAAGGTATAGCCGAATCCCTGGCAAAATGTGTTCAGTCAATACCCTGATTGTTTTGGTGGGGTCAGGATCATTACAAAGTTAATTTCTAACGGCTTTCAGGTTGGCGCCCATAGACGGCAAAATAAAATGAGGATGAGACGATGGTACCGACCAGCGATATTTTTTCGCCCAAGCCTGACTGAATCGAATTCAAAAACGATTTAAGAGACAGATAAATGAAGGCGACTGACTGCTTCCGCAGTGCAAGGAATAGAGGCAAAGCGCTGAGACGAGTCATCTGAGGACGCGGTTAATTCACGAACACAAACCAATGCAGAATTTTAGATGTTGCGTTCGTCATTACTAGAAGCTACCTTAAGGGTCATCCCTGCGACTGCTGAAGCGGCCAATCACGTCTCTTGGTTATACGAGAAGTTGTCTCCCCGGCCAAAATATCTCAAATTGGTTGGTTATTCTGGCAGTTGTTAGGGTGGCCTTTAAAAAGCCTCCCTGTGATTAGTCTATGTATCATCATGAGGTTCACTAAGTGTATAGGATGACAAGCAACTGCGGTATTTGAGAAGCGGTGCTGTGAACTTGAATAAGCGGTAATTTCGCTGGAATCAAGGGGTCGTAGTTATGAGTATGAGCGGCTGTTCGTTTACTGAATAGCTTTGAGCCAGAGGCCCATTCGTTTGTTCGTAACATTCACACACACTATTTTTAGGGCCTGCACGACAGGGTAAGTGGACACGAATTTTGACCCCCGGGTCATTTGGTTTGGGAAGCATTAACTGTGGGAGACTTTGTACCGAAGAAGAGTGTTAGGATGGGTAGAGACAGTATAAAATTAATGTGGGCAGTAGCCTGTGGAGTGTGTCGTGACATTTAAAGTATGCTTCTTTCTGCATTTTTCAGCATAGTCGAGTAGGATCTTATTCTACCTGTTGAAAGCAAACCGTTTTGTGTTGCAGTTAGTTGAAGAGGTTCATATACCATCGGGGGAGATTGCGTGTAATGACTACTGACAATAAGCTGTGTCTGAAAAGCAATCAGTAGGTAACGCTGTTATACTGGGGTACATCTAACGAGCTAATGAAAACGGGATAACGTCGTACTACATGGGCCAAGCCTTGCTTTTATGCCGCAGAGGAGATATGGGTCAACTGCTGGTTCACAATACGCGCTGAGATTACTAAACGTGCTATAAAAAGCTCTCATCCTACTGAAAATTGCCGGTTATGAGTACGAATTGACTGGTGTAGGTGTTCGAAGCTTAAATTTTCTGGAAAAACTGAATGGGATGTGTCACTACTTTTACTGGCTCTTAAAACCCTACGCGAAAGCGCACATTTCAATCTCTGGTTAGAACTTGCAGTAGCAGGGGGAGACTTTACGCCCAGCTGGGTTAATCTTCGTGATAAAAGTCATTATCTGATGAATATTCACGAGGCTTTCATGTTTGAACCCAGGCACCTGAACCAGTAAGTTGTCAAACCACTCATACTAATGCTCAGATCTGTAATTAATTAGGTAAAGATAGCACAGTTGCCTTGTCTATCTTAGAAACACTAGGTTTTTCAGGCCAGGAAACGTGCGGACAAGGCTGCAAGACAAGTTTGGAAACTAGGCAAATTGAGACTGGTTTGAGAGAGCTCCCTGTAATCGCGAAACTAGCGTTGGAATAATCCCATCATAAGGTGGCACGAGACCAATTTATTTCATCTTTTCTCGTATCTCTGGTTCCGCAATATTTATGCTGCCGCGGACGAACTTTTCATTATGGCCCCACTTAGAAACTGTCATCACTAACTGTTGAGCAGCAACTGAGCAAATTTTGTCCCATTCAAAAATTGACTCAACGAGGGGTACGCGTACGTGTAGGGTTTTAGTAACTTTGCAATGTGACTCCAATAGGATGCATTGATTTGGAAATAAACAAGACTAAGTGAATAGTAATCGCACCTAACTAAAGTTTTGATGGTGTTGAAGAGGAAAGCATAGACAAATCTTCGAAAAATTAGCGGTAGCATATCCTTTCATCTCGTTTATTCATTTTTCATGTGTGAGGCTTTGGTACGATGGTCAACACATTTGGTGTTTGTACCGATAAATGATTGAAAACAGTATAATCGAAGGTGGAAGTCTTTTTTTCTCCAATTTGCGTACCCTTACATACGTGCACCACAGTTGAGTTGGATGACACCACAGGCAACGACTTCAAATCCTTAGAAGGAAGGAAAAATATTAGCTTACCCTTCTCCAGGTTTTATGACACTTAGTTTGCTATTAAGAAAAAAGTTGTTCAGCGACAAGACGAATATCAGGACTTCTGCAGTCAGTGAACTATACTTTTTAGCCCAAAAGTGGACAGGTGATGGATATGGCAGCTGCACATGGTTTAGCCAAGATCTCAGTTAGCTCAGAAAATCAGTTTAAAATCCTACAGTGAATGGATGGTTGAAAAAGGGGTCCAGTACTCTGCTAATGATGGGCCGCAGATGTCGCCAAGGTAAAGTATTCACAGATATTGTCGGTTAGCTTGATGGAAGTTCGTAGATTCCTTTCATGCTTTCCTTTGACGTTTAACGGACATGCATAATGTGATCGTTGGAACTACTTAGCTGGTCGTCTTAAAAGAAGACAGCAGCTAATTGAAGCTTGTGATCAACGCGGTTGTAGGTCGGCACACTGTGAATTGCAGGGTTGAACTGTGTGTATTCTCAACAGAGTTGTCGGTTTGAAAATGAAGTTCTTTTAGAAGATGAGCGAACCTCCTTCGGTTGTTCGGAGGTTGAAGCCCCCCGGTTAGAACACCCTGCTACTTCGAAAGCAGAGATCAAACCTTTCACAAGAGCACCTTTAGCTTAAGTTAATGGTGGTACGCTGGGGCTTTGCACAACCCACGGAAACGACAGCCAAAATGGAGTATTACTCCCGTTTACCTGACAATATAATTTTCGCCTCATGTTGACAACAAATAGCTGTGAGAGAAATGCTGCAATCTTGAGATGAAAAATGAATGTAATTGCATTGCCATGTGCAGAAATTTTGGTTGATCCTTACCTATTGCTGTTTTGCACTTTGACTCCGTCTACTTAAGGCAGTTGATTATTTCAACGCAGCGAGGCTGTACCAGCTCCATTTGTTGAACTAGTATAAGTGTATAATCGTGCTCCAGAAACGGCGCACACGCCTATTTGTGAAGATAAATCATCATCATTTTTAACTGCAAAGTAAGGAGTTTATGGGCATTTAAGTATTGAAAATGTACGTCAGAAAAGTACAGCCGTTAGGAACATGATACTAGCCACCCGAACTGGCCCGAGGCCTAAGTGAAATCCGCTTTAAAATTTTAGATATACATTACACAACTTGTAATTCATTAATAATGAGGAGGTAAATAACTATAAAAATAGGAAAATGTGATCTGACAATTAATGGGAGCATTTCTATCATCAAATTTCGTGAAGTAAAGTCCTCAAACTTGGTCTAAATGTAACACATATTTTCTCTCCTATGACTTATATATAAATAGATACTTAGCACCAAGCTGGTTATTGACTTACCTATAGACAAAGGAGATAGATCAGTAAAACATTCAACATGAAGATATGTAAGAAGGAAGCAAACGAGCATTCGGATTAAAGAAGCCAGCTGACGGCGACGTTGAACAAAAGCTGCATATCTGATATATTAAACAATAAACGCCTTCGTATGCGACTAGGAGCCCAAACTTATTTTCTAGTCATCGCATGGCAGAGATGAAAATGTAATGTTTAAAGAGGTGCCCTAAACGACGTCGACGGACGCAAGGGCCAGTCATCACCTATTCGTACTTACTACGTACCTACAAGTGGAGTAGTCGAATGGTATATTTGATCCACAATACTAAACCACCGATGCGTTCACACCAACTGGTTAGAGGATCTCATTCGAGCAGTACAATGTTACACGCAAACGTACCAAATAAAGTGAATACTTGGGCGTTTGCCTTCAACTTGGCCAGCTCGTTAAAATGATGAAGGTCACAATCAATGCTGAATTTCGTCGAACCCTGGGGTATCGATTTTGAGGAATCATGCCTGAGCTAATACGGAAGATACCCGAAGTCTTTGTGTGCACGTTATCATTTGGACCTTTAGCCATTTCAACGTCTATTTCCATCCACCACCACAAGTGTTCCCATTGGAATTAATCCATACTACCTCTGAAAGTAATGTGGTTACCCGGAAATCCATTGATTTAGACACCCACCTTGTTTGTAAAACTGTGGATAATTTGCCGATACTTCAGATAGTACAGATCGGTCCTTTGTGGTTTACAAAGCTAAAAACTGAGGAACTTTCTGACGAATAGACGGTTATGCTGTTAATAACAAACTATGTAGATGGACTAACAAAGTTGGCTGGCTATAACGCAAAATTCGAATATTGTGCGCTTTTGTTCTTAATAATGGAACCTATCTGTGCTATGGGGGATGAAAATCCATGCCGGTGACAACAAGTTTAATAAAACTATCTGAATCAATGACTTGGTATGTGAACTAATTATCATTATATACTATTTTGTAAACTTTTATGAGTTATCAGTTTGACGATGCTTGTAAACTGGTATCTCTCACGCCAACTCCATTACATGACGATGAGAATTATTATTATCTAAACATTAGCACTCCATCGGCTCTGAAAAATTGTATCTTCTCGTTTAATTCATACCTAGCAGGGTCTTCTGATGTTTCTAATGAAGTTAAATGACACCGTCCGTACCATTCAGGACTAGTGAAATCATGTAGAGTTTTCGATATATACCAATGCGATGATGCCTACAGCTGAATGTCCTGCCAGCTATGAAACGAACAAGGGAATATTACTTTTCAGAGCATACGGAGTGGTAGAGTTCAGATAATAATAAATACTATCCTAATATAATGAGCTTAACTTGAAGGATACCAGTTTACAAGCACCATCAGATTCATAATTTTTGAAAGTTTACCAACCGGTATTTAGCATCAAGTAATTCACGCACCAAGTCATTGGTGTGCATAATCTCATTAAAATTTGCTGAACTGCATGAAACGGATGTGGATTTTCATCTCTCACCACACGGGTAGGTTCTGCCATCATTATCAAAAGCACGCAGTGTTCAAAGTTTGCATTATAACCAACCAACGTTGTTAGTTCATCTGCACAGTTTGCTAATTAGTAACACGACGGTCTATTCCTTGGAATGATCTTCAGTTTTTAGCTTTGTTAACCACAAAGGACCCATTTATACAATTTGGGGCATCAATAAAGTATCCACAGTTATGTAACCAATGTGCGCGTCTGTATCAGTGCATTTCCAGGTCACCATGTTACATTCGAAGGTAATAGAAGTCAATGCTATCGAGAATATTTGTTGTATTGGATTGATTTAAACGTTGAAATGATCGATAGTCCAAACGGTAATATTTGTACATAGACTACGGGTACCTTTTGCTGACTACGATATTGACGGTTTGTTTCTTTGTGTGTGATATAGGATTCTTGAGTTGTCTGAGGAGATTGTAGGGGGCTGGATGTGTCGTTATTGCATAGTGCTTGACCAGCCCTACCAGCTCCAAATTCTTGAACCTCTTTAATTGGGACTTTACATTACGTGTTATTACTGGTGACGAAACACAGGTCAAAAAAACCAATATTCAGAAATATATTCTGAGGAGCAATACAGCCAAACAGAATAATTGCGTGACTCTTAGAGAATTAGTTTATCTGACTTATCTAGCTGTTCTGGCTGAGGTAGGAACGTGCCTGTTAACTGGTAAAAGAGGAGCGCGAAATGGCACTGAAGCCCACCCGGATGCATACTAGTTGGGGAAAAACCTAAAGCATCTAGAGGCGAGGTGGACTTTAATTTAGTTGATTTCTAGTGAATTCAGTTATTTTGGCCTTAGTTTCATGCTGATATCAGAAAGATGCACTGAAAGTTCTTTATGACCTTAGAACCACCTTTTCATCCAGCTTAGGAATATTTATACCAGAAATTACTCCATCACACACCTGAGTGTGCATCTGACCAGATTTCAGACTTTGTGTTCTGAGTTGGTGGAAGAAACCTGGGGATTTTTGATACACCAAGATGCCACAGAACAAGCCATGCGAAAAGGATTCGTAAGTAGCCCTATAAGTTTGTCAAACGGCAGACGAATAGGTTTCTGTAATAAGTTAGGACTCTTCAACAAACTTCACTTCTGTTGCGAATGCAGTAGTAAAACACTCGTGTTTTATCATCTTTCAATTTCCTTAACGGACACTGTGCATCTAGGCTTTTAGGTAGCTGATTACCGAATTCCTTTACCTCATCACCAAAATATGCTACTTATGTGCATCGCAAATAACAGTTACGGGGTTCCCGAAAACTGAACTTGAGCACTAAAATACGGAAGTCAGGATTGCGTATTCGGTAGAATTAATCCGCACTGCGAGGCTGAAAGTAACTGGTAAATAATCGTGAATGGTAGTCGGAAAGGATACTGACCACTGCTCGTTGACTATTGAGGCCGGGGAAACTACACATGGCATCCTGTATGGAACTATCACAGCATTGCTCCTACAATCATAGTCACTGAGTTGTTAGCAAAGGTCATGCTTGTTGAAGTGGAAGGAAGATAGTTAAGTACACATGGTGCTGCTTCATCTTCTAAGATAAACTCAAAGGTGATTCTGGTAGAAAATATTGTCAGCCACATCATTTCCAGAACCTGAGAAGCATCAGAACGCAAAAAGAGCATCATACGGGTTGGCAAAGCATTTCTTCCAGTGGAGCACGTCTCAGGTAGAACGCGTTTTGAGTACTAATCGAAAGTTGCTTTAGCTGTGGGTGTGAACTATAAATGTGAGGTCGCTATGATGAGGAGGGATGCCAGGACCAAGTAAATCAGTTGGTTGTGATAGGATTGTGAGTTTCTACGATGTCACTTTGAAGCTGGATGGAAGACAAAGATAAAGAGCAAGAAGTCATTTGAGAGACACTACCCCTTATGAAATTATTTTTGAGGTCACTCACGGCGTTTGTTCCAAAAAATGGATACTAGATTCTGGCTATTCGTCGTCAGCAGCAGTCTGTGGTTAGGATTATATGGATATTGACAGTTGACACCATAAGTGTATGCTGCTTCCAGTTCTATCTGGCATCCGGCGGTTAAAGGTGCTGACTCTTGGTGCACATCTACAGAACTTATGAAAAGATTGAGCTTCAACCACAAGATCCACTCATTTCGCTTTCGACTTACTTGTCTATCTTCGAGTGAAGGCTTTAGGCAAACGATCCGGTTATTGCAATCAGTTTCTTTTCAGTTGTTTTACCTTTTTATTATTCCGTGACTTAGACAGTGTCACCCTTTTTTGTATGGCACATTGCACTACATTATCCTCCAAATTAACCCCATGAGACCATCAGGGCTTTTTTAACAGTTAACCAACTTGTAGCACAACAAGAACAACATAGCACGAGTAAATTTTCACTAACCCATTGGCGTAACATGAAAAAATACATTTCAGCAAACAAGCATGCAAAAGTATGCTTTTTGTAACTGGCCTGCCTCCCAAACATTGCTTACCATAGAGATAGAAAGGCAACGGGCAACCAGCGAGGATGGTATCATGAACGGAGCATAGCTGGAGAAAATTCACGGAATATGAACATCAAGTACGTCCGCAACGCTCATAAATCAGCAAAAAACTCGTTAGCATGAAACCGGTTGAACAGTACGGCCTGCAAAGACGGCAGGAAGTGGCCTCACAATAGTCACAAGACAGCATTCCGACCGGTTTCCAAGTAGTATGGCGCATGTTCAATTTAGCCAGTAGAACGACGGTAGTTATGGCGGGAATCGAAAAAAATACTACTACTGAAGGGGTTTCACATGTGGTAATACAACATAGTCTTCACTTCTAGCAAGCAGTGTCCTCAGGTCTTCTAGGGGAATCTACCAGGGAAAATGTATAGGCATTATGCGGCTACTTTACACTAACATCCCACAGTTCAGTGACATTGAACGTTACATGCTTGTTTAAAAAGTTTTAAAAGATATGTGAAGTCAGAGTTACCAGGCTGGAAATCTACGTCAGTCAGCTCCCTATCAAGAAAAGACACACTGCTTCTACATTACAGTTCACAAATCCGTTAGCTTGCCTTCTTCAGCGAGCGGCATAAAAGTCCTAATGTTACGTTAAATCCACTGAGTAGCACGTAACGAAGAAACGTATATCCAGGGTTCTCAAAACCCAATGCGAAACCAAACAAATCCAAAACAATTGGTTGCCAGAAGACAAATATGTATTCGAAACGAAATACAATGCTAACGCTAATGGAAACAAGAGGCTCAGTATGGTTGTACAAGCATTTTGAATGAAGTCACATAAAATGTGTGGTCAGTGTTTTTGAAAACGCTGCAAGAACAGTATCAAAACACTCAACTCTCCTCCACCAAAGAGCTTCAGGTTCCTTTCACAACCGTTAGCACCCAATAACACTTATCAGACAGACAGACAAGCATACATGTATCCTCGTGGTCCCTAGGGCTTACACCAGTACACTTGAGAACCCCCTATACTAACCTTCGTGACGACCCCCGGAACTACAGCAGTACTCCTGGG